GGCGTCGGCGGTACGTTACCCGAGACCGACCAGCCGTAGTCGTTCCCGGTCCCGTGATCACCGGTACCGATCCAGATCCAGGTCGGCGAGACGCTGCTCCAGGTCCTGGTCGCGGAGGCGCTACTCCCCAAACCCGGACCGGCACCGTCCTACGGCTCCGCCGTGGCCTTCCAGGTCACCGTCCGTGGTGTCGGAGACTGACTCGGGCCGGTGCGGCGGGTATGCCCATAGGGCACCGGCTAGCAGGGACCATGAACCCTGTGGCCATCCCCAGTGGGGCCAACCGAGCCAATGGCCGTTCTGGACACCCTGGGCCTACCACCAGCAAGGACCCCCATCTAGGACCTCGAGATCCGGGCCATCAGGGTACTGATTCCGCTCCCCGCGGTACCGCCCGCCATCTCATAAGGAGGCAACGGTCTCTAGACCGCAGGAGCGGGAGGGAGTGGACTTGACACCGAGCACGGTACCGTCCCAGTCCCACACCGTGGGTCAGGCCCCAGAGGAGCAACTGGTCGATGCCGGGTTGCAGGAAGATGAGGATGGGCAGAAGGCCCCGACCTCTTCCTCCTCGCCGGACGAGGCAGTAGCAGGCACGACAGTGTCTGGCCCTCCCCCGATTGACCATCGGGCTCACCAAGACCTGCTTCGCCGGGTAGCCCTCAATCTGGGCTTGCAGGCGGAGGAGACTGTAGAACAGGAGGACCCCATGGTCGATATCCTGAGCCCGGAGGGGCCCTCCAGAGTCGCTCTCCCGATTATACGGACAGTCTAGTCCAACTATAAAACGCTGTGGCAAACGCCGGCCTCCAGTGCACCAACTGCAAGAGGTGTGGAGAGGAAATACTTCGCCCCATCTAGAGGATTTGACTTCCTCTTTTTGCACCCGTCTCCTTGTTCGCTGGTGGTCTCGGCGGTCAACGAGCGAGAGTGTCATGGCCAGCAAGCCCCTGCGCCCAAGGGCAAGGAAGCAAAGCGATTAGACTTGTTTGGGAGGAAAGTCTATTCATCTGGGGGCCTTCAGCTGAGGATCGCTAATCAGCAGGCGATTCTAAATAGACACAATTTTAACTCTTGGGCATCAGTCTCCAAGTTTAAGGACTCCCTACCTTAAGGACGCACATCCTGAGTTCACGGCCCTGATGGACGAGGGCATGGCGGTGGCCAAGACCTCATTGCAGGCCTCCCTCGACTCAGCCGACGCAGCGGCTAGAACAATCGCGTCAGGGGTAGTGATGAGGCGTTCGGCATGGTTACAGGCTTCAGGCCTTCCGCCAGAGGTGCAGACCACACTGCAGGACCTCCCGTTTGAAGGTTCGGGCTTGTTCTCCGACCAAAGGGACGCCAGGCTACATAGCCTTAAGGACTCGCGAGCAACCCTTAAGTCATTGGGCATGCATACCCCGGTGACACAGCGCAAGCCCTTTAAACCTCAGCCACCACAGAGGCAGTACCACCCTCGCCTTCGGCACGAACCGTACCGCCGTCGTGGCAGGGATAACAGGCGGAGACGTAACAATACGCCTAACCAGGGCCAAGGTCACGGCCAGGGCAAGCCGCAGCCAGGGAACAAACCAGGCTTTTGAAGCTACGCCCGAGGACAGCGTACCACATTCCATACCGGATCCTCCTCCAAGTTTCTAGGACCGCCTGTCCCATTTCTACCGGGCATGGTTGCGCATAACATCGGACCGCTGGGTCCTGCGCACAGTGAAGGCGGGCTATACCCTCCAGTTTTCCTCGCCCCCTCCCTGCCATCCCCCTTCCCCGTCCCTCTTCAGGGGACCCCTTTCACGAGCAACTTCTCATGCAGGAGGTACAGACCCTTCTCGCAGCAGGAGCAGTGGAAGAGGTCCCACCGGACCTAAGGGGAAAAGGATTCTACTCCAGATACTTCCTGATTCCCAAGGCAAAAGGGGGCCTCCGTCCTATCTTGGACCTGCGCGACCTAAACAAGTTTCTGATCAGAACACGCTTCCGTATGGTCTCCCTTGGAACTATTATCCCATCCCTGGATCCGGGGGACTGGTACGCTGCCCTCGATATGAAAGATGCCTACTTTCACATCGCCATCAATCCGGCCCACAGGCGGTTCCTGCGCTTCACTATCAACCAGCGCCATTTCCAATTTACGGTCCTGCCTTTTGGCCTGGCATCAGCACCACGAGTATTCACGAAATGCATGTCCGTGGTAGCAGCCTTCCTTCGGAAGAGAAGGATGCGTGTGTTCCCGTACTTGGACGACTGGCTTCTCGCGGGAAGGTCGGAGGCCGAGGTCCGATCTCACGTGACACTGGCCTTGCAAATGTTCGACAGGCTCGGCCTCCTGGTCAACGTGCCCAAGTCCACGTTAGTTCCCACACAGAGACTGGACTTCATAGGTGCAACCCTGGACTCGGTGACCGCGCGGGCAAGCCTCCCAGAGTCACGGTTCCTGACAATTCAGAGGGCCGTAAGCTCAGTCCAAAAATTCCCCACGACAACGGCAAGGTGTTGCATGCAGCTCCTGGGACACATGGCAGCCTGCACACATGTGGTCAGACATGCCCGCCTAAGGCTCTGGCCTTTGCAGTTGTGGTTTGCCCAAACGTACCGCCCCAACAGAGACCCCTTGGATCTAGTGGTGACGATCCCAGATCGGGTGTTGGGCTCGCTCCGCTGGTGGCTCGATCAACAGCAGGTCTGCGAAGGGATCCCCTTCGCTGCCCCACAGCCCACTCTGACGTTAGTAACAGATGCATCAGACCTGGGTTGGGGGGCGCATCTGGGGGAACTGCGGACCCAAGGGTTGTGGTCCAGAGAAGACAAACTGCTTCACATCAATCTAAAGGAGCTAAGAGCGGTTCGCCTCGCCTGTCAGAGCTTCCACGCCACCATAGAAGGTCACAGCGTGGCAGTCCTAACGGACAACACTACCGCCATGTTCTATATAAACAAGCAGGGCGGGTCCCGGTCCTCTCCCCTCTGTTGCGAGGCACTCCACTTATGGGACTTTTGTATAGCCCGTGCGATCCACCTCATCGCAACGTATCTCCCGGGGATCCAAAACGGCTTAGCGGACCGCCTCAGCCGATCCTACTGAATGCACGAATGGGCGTTGAGGCGAGACGTCCTGCATTCAATCTTCCGGAGGTGGGGCTTTCCCTGGGAGGAGCTGTTCGCCACCAAGGACAACAGTCAATGCCCTCAGTTCTGCTCATTTCAGAACCTCAGCCCGGGATCATTAGCAGATGCCTTCACGATCCCATGGGGAGGGAGCCTGAGTTATGCCTTCCCTCCGTTCCCGCTCAAACACAAGGTCCTCCTCAAGACCCGCAGGGACAGGGCGACAATTATACTCATCGCTCCTTCCTGGCCATGCCAGCATTGGTTCACGACCCTGCTGGAATTGTCCATAGCCGACCCGATCACCCTCCCCCTCCATCGCGACCTAGTCACACAAGACAAGGGTCGCCTGCTCCACCCGAACCTGTCATCGCTACATCTCACGGCGTGGTATCTCTCTGGCTGAATGATGCGGAACACAGGTGCTCTCACCAGGTTCAACAAATCCTCCTTAGTAGTAGGAAGCCCTCCACAAGAGCGACCTACCTGGCCAAATGGAAAAGGACGTCTCCCACTGGTGCGAGCCTCAGCACATACAGCCTTTACAGGCCTCAGTTCCGTCGATCCTGGACTACTTACTGCACCTTAAGCATCAAGGGCTTGCGCCTGCCTCGATTAGAGTGCATTTAGCCGCCATTTCGGCTTTCCATCCGGGAGAGTTGGGAGTGTCAGTGTTCTCCAACCCCACAGTGGCCCGATTCCTCAAGGGGCTGGAGAGGGTGTTTCCCTACTCGCGCCTGCCTGTCCCTGTGTGGAGTCTGAACCTAGTCCTAACTAAGCCCTGGGGGACCCCCTTTGATCCCCTAGCCACTTGCTCCCTCATG